AGGTTGGAGGCAATCGCTATTAGGTTGGAGGCCATCGCTATTAGGTTGGAGGCAATCGCTATTAGGTTGAAGGCAGTCGCTATTAGGTCGGAGGCCATCGCTATTAGGTTGGAGGCCATCGCTATTAGGTTGGAGGCCATGGCTATTAGGTTGGAGGCCATCGCTATTAGGTTGGAGGCCATCGCTAATAGGTTGGAGGCCATCGCAATTGGGTTGGAGGCCATGGCGATTAGGTTGGGGGCCATCGTTATTAGGTTGGAGGCCGCGGCTATTGGGTTGGAGGTCACGGCTATTAGGTTGGAGGCCATTGCTAGTAGGTTGGAGGCCATCGCTATTAGGTTGGAGGCCATCGCTGTTAGGTTGGAGGCCATGGCTACAGGTTGGAGGCCATGGCTATTAGGTTGGAGGCCATCGCTATTAGGTTGGAGGCCATGGCTATGGTTGGAGGCCATGGCCATTAGGTTGGAGGCCATGGCCATTAGGCTGGAGGCCATGGCCATTAGGTTGGAGGCCATCGCTAATAGGTTGGAGGCCATCGCAATTAGGTTGGAGGCCATGGCTATTAGGTTGGGGGCCATCGTTATTAGGTTGGAGGCCGTGGCTATTGGGTTGGAGGTCACGGCTGTTAGGTTGGAGGCCAACGCGATTAGGTTGGAGGCCACCAGGTTGGAGTGGAGGCCATCGCTATTAGGCTGGAAGCCATCGCTATCAGGTTGGACGCCATCGCTATTAGGTTGGAGGCCATCGCTCTTAGGTTGGAGGCCATGGCTCTAATATAGGTTGGAGGCCATCGCAATTAGGTTGGAGGCCATGGCTATTAGGTTGGAGGCCATCGCTATTGGGCTGGAGGCCATCGCTGTTAGGTTGGAGGCCATCGCTATTGGGCTGGAGGCCATCGCTATTAGGTTGGAGGCCATCGCTGTTAGGCTGGAGGCCATCGCTATTAGGTTGGAGGACATCGCTATTAGGTGTGGCCCTGATGCTGGGGGACGAACATTCAATTTATCCTGCCATGCCCCACGAGAATGCGTTGCAATGAGGTTGAGGTCTTTTATCATCTTTTGGAAAATATGTTTGTCGGTCTGGGCATGAAAGGTCCGCACAAAAGAAGGAGTCTTTGTTAGTGTTGCACTTGCTCCTAGTAGTTTATTGTTTCTAATAGCTTTTTGTTATTACTAGTAAGGCACTTGTTACTAGAAGCGATGCACTTGTTCCTAGTAGCTTCTTGTGTTAGTGGTGAGTCTTTTTCTCGGTTTCTCCATCTTCTGGGCTCTGGGCGTCGCTCGCGCCCACGGCTGCCGGGACGATGCTGTTCACAGGCAGCGCTAGGGGTGCGCCGAAGCCGCTGGCGGTCACCAGCTCTTTCTTCGGGGCGGGAGACGGTGAGCCTGGAACCAGGGTCGAACCGGGGGACCTAGTACGCTAAAGGCTAAGTTAGCTTCTAGTAACTGGACGCAGGATAGCTCACGCTAATCATTTGGCTCCCAGATTTTTAGGAAAACGTTCAATTCCTGAAGAACTGCGTTTGGGCTGTGAAACCTCACTAGATAGATCAATCCAGTTGTCAGGCCACGATAGTCAAAGGAGCAAAGAAATCAAATCAAGCATCACATCAGCATGCAGCTTCCAAAAGCACCTGATGACTCATCTCTGGACCTGGCGCAGATCTGAACCCAGGCGATCTCTGCTTCCATGAGAATGAAATCTCAGCAGAATGAAAGGAGGAAGACATTTGGCCCTCAGACTTGTCTCTTAAACTTGACGGATGTGTGGAATGGCCCAAGCCTGCTTTGCTCCCGCTTTCGCTTGATATCCTTTTTTCGTTCCTGCCAGGAAAGCCAAGGAGTGAGAAAGATAGAGAAAGAGAGGAGCGAACAAGGCCTTCAGGGGAACTTGAGAGAGGAGGGGGTGAACGAAAGGTTGCGGGCAATCACAAGTAACCCTGGTAGAAGTCCATGACGGCGTGAACCGGCGCAGGGGGGATTTGATCCAACTCTTACAGCACCAAATTCAATGCACAATCCCAACTCCTGATTGTAATACATTTTTGCTAAAGCAAGGAGAACTCAGGTAGCTCAAGCTACCTTTTGTGAGTAGCACAACCCTAGTTGCAGTACTGGAGTATCGGAGTAACTGCCAAATTGCACCCGAACACACTTCCAAGCACATTCTCCATTCTCCCACACAATGTGCAATCCCCGGCCGCATGGAAATCAGCGACACTGTCCCCGCACCTTCCGGACGCTCGGGCTGCGGCTCGAGCTGCATTTCTTGGCTTTCTTTCGGCGATCCTGCGGCGAAGTCTCCAAGGCGAGAGACGGCCATATGATACGTCCTAAGAAAACAAGAAAGAATGGTGCGAAGCTCCAAAGAAAACAGAAAAATAGAAAGAGCGACAGAAAAGACTGAATAGAAAAAGAAACATAAGGATTCAGATGATTCAGGATGCATAAGGATTATTCTGAACTATTCTTGCTCCTAGATCTTCTAGTAGCAAAGGGTAGTCTAAAATGATATCCAAAGGTGGGCAGTTGCATGAGGCAACAAATTTCGAGGATTTTGGAAGATGCATCGCTGCAGTTCACCAGGCACGGACAGTGCTTCAGTGTGCCGACATCACAAGGGGTTTTAGCCCCTGAAGTGATACAAACATCATCAAACCTTCTCTGCAGTCCAAGCTCAGCGGCTTTGATGAAACATGTCTGGTCAGTATTGCCCTGACATTCACTGTGGATCTATCAAGCCCCGTGCAGTTCTTCGTCACCTGTTGTATCCTGTTGTGATCAAAGGCTTGCCCTCTCCTTGGCCTTGTCTTTCTCACGCAGGCCTTTGATCGCTGCTAGGAAGGCCATCTTGTCCTCGGCTTGGTCTGACCCAGATTGTCCAATAGAAAGCATGGCTCTCGCTTTCCAGCAAAGTCTCGCAGAAAGGAAAAAACAGAAACCTTGCTGCTTTCAGCAAAAACAAGACTGTCCTTCTCCTTTTCCTTCTCGATGTCTTCCTTGGCAAACGGTCTCATTCTCAGAACCACTATGACCCTTTAGTTCCTGCTGTCAGAAAATTGGAAAACCGCGATATCAAAATGTTCAATATCAAGCAGTCTTGCCAGACTCTAGAGTCTCTGAGAACATGCTCGGAAAATCTCCACCAGCTCTGGTGCCGAGTTTCATCGCTCTCATCGGCTCTTCGCTCCTTGCCACCCGGCGCTTTCGTGCCTTTGGGCTTGCTCTTCACCTCCGACGTCCACTAGTAGACGTATCGCTTATCACGTACGAAGATGGATGGTCGATGGCTGGACGTTTCGTGTGATACATTTCGTGCCAGTCCTTGTCTTTCCGATCACGTCGGTCTCGATCCTTCAAGCTCTCCCTATCCTTCCGTTTGTCCTCAAAAACTTCGGAGCCAAGGTTTACCATAGCATCCGGATCTACCAAACAAAGCCTACATGGAGGTGGACAGTTTTGTGCATAGCAGGAATGCCAGCCAAACAGATTCTCATGGACTTGAAAGAGGAGAGGTCACAATTTGAAAGGATTTAGATGAGCTAAGATGCAGAAATGCATCAGAACGAGTTGATCCAGCAGGACACCCCCTAATGATGAAGAATCGTCACTTAGAGCCTGTGATTCATCGATCCCGGCTTCCCACTGTAATACATGTGTGTCAAAGCAAGTAAAACTCAGCTAGCTGAAGCTACCTTTGCCACAAACCCATCCCGCAAGTCTCAAGTTCCTTGTACCTAGCTTCCAGCAGCTAGCAGCTAGCATCAAACCTACAATTCAGTATGACCCACGCAGATTTTAACTCCAACATTTTTGGCCGCCCAGATTGGTCAGAACAGGAGGGGAACAGGGAGTGCATTTGCAGTTCTGGCCGATCTGCTTCACTTCGATCGATAACTTTCTCAGGCTCCTTGTGCCTATCCTCCTCTTCTGAGGAAGCCTGACAAGTTTGCTGGGCAAGCGCTCTTTGTTCCGAGCCAACTGTTCATCAACCGTGGGGGAGCTAGATATGAAGATTACAACAACAAGAGCCTGCTTATTGCATTGTTATCCCCTTCGGAAGAAAAAAACATGATAATTCAAGTTGCACAGTGTGTCCTTCAGCAGAAATGTCTTCACCCAGCAATTCATAGTGTGTCTGACAAATGAACCTTTCGACATCCCTTAGTGCGGAAGTCGGGTCTCAAGTCCTGTTGGTTTGACATGTTGAGATGAAGAGACGAGTCTTGGATCGCCATCCAGTGGTCTAGGCTCAAAGCCTGACCAAAATCTCTCCGGGCCCCCCCACCATTAATGGAGCTCAGTCGCCCATGAAGCACATGGGGGCGTGATGCAGTGGCGTTGATTCTCTTGGATCCTGACACCTTTGGGCCCTCTCGGAGAATCAGAATCTGACCATCCAATGAGCTGCGAGGCTCAAGGGTTTCATGGAAGCACCTGGGGACTTAAAGGATCAGAACGGTTCAACAAGGGTCACATTATCCCCGCAGGGTCTACGAGTCTACTGTGGACAGCATTCTTTCGACTCTGCGGTGAACGGTACACTCATGTATGAACCCTGCTGGAGCCACACAAGGCCAAAGAGTTGGAAAAGCTTGACATCTTGCAGGAAAAATGAGCGGAAAGCTGTCCAAATCAGCCTATCAACTGCTACCAAGTACCAACTCTTCCTGTTCACAAAGCCTAAGCTTCCACCAAATGCAGCAAAATCCCTGTGGCTTCCGATCAACACCACGCGGGGTGGCACGTAGTGGAGGTCATGTGCTCCTGCAAGTTACCGCATCCCACACTGCTTTGGCATTCTGCTGGTTCTACTGGTTGAAGTTCGACTGTGGCAAAAGCTTCTTCATGAGTACGACTGACCCATTGGCTGTTCAATGATCGCTCGTTCGACTGCGTCCTCGCATTCCTTCTGCGGATGGATGGATATGGCACCTCAGAAGTGCAGTGCGCACTTCCGGCCAGGCTGTTGGATCAACCCGAAATGGAACAGCTTGTCCACTTTGGACCACAATTTGCCGGCAATCGTCAAATTCCAGTGTCCACCTGGCTAACCCTAAGGGCAGTTCCATGGGTTCAGCCATCTTTCTGGCCAAAAAAGCGAAGAATAACATAGACTACAGCGTACTGCCACCAACCAAGCGAAGTTTACCCAAACGAAGATGCCCGGTCAAAAGGTTCTCCCCACAGCCCAGCTGGGCTCGACGGCCTGTGGTGACCTGATCCAGCTGAAGTTGTCTCAGCGCAGCTTCCTTGGACCAAGATAGCATCTCTCAAACTATGGAGACGATCAGCTCCCTCTGTACTGTACATGCTTCAGAGTTCAGGAACACCTGTCCCAAACCTGTGCTCTATCAAATAGGTCGAAGAACATGCCAGTCTAAATGCATCGAATCAATATTGAACAAATAGATCGATACATGGATAGACAGACTGATGACATACATGCATCCCGCTGAGCTCCTCACCAACTTAGTTTCCAAATCAGTGCTGCTGCACAGCTTCGTCCTCGAACAAGCGGCCATAATGCCTTAATAAGCCTTTTCTTAAGGCCTTTTGTGCCCCTGAACGATATCTTAGGCGGGAGGCCATCGCTAGTAGGTTGGAGGCCATCGCTAGTAGGTTGGAGGCCATCGCGAATAGGTTGGAGGCCATCGCTCTGTTGCTGAAGATGTGGTGGCTTGCCAGAGAAGCGCACAAACCCCCATTCAGATCCTGAGAGTACCCGTTGCGGGATTGAGTCAATCAGGAACTCGCTTGGCACCGGCCTGATGGAAGATGCGCTATAGGCTGCCAGTACAGTGATGCTGGCCTGCGCTGCAGCTACCACTGCGTTCAAGCCCAGGTTCAACAAATTTTGACTACAGGAAGAGGCAGAAGGAAATCAAACCGTCATACAAGCAATGAGCCCTTGCCCACTCAAGCCAACGCATGTCAAGCCCTTCGGACATTCTCAATGGCCTCCAACCTAATAGCGATGGCCTCCAACTACTGTCTTCGGTGTTAGACTTCAGACTTCCGTGTTGGAATCCTTGGCCTCCACAATGACTGCGCCATCGCCGGCAAGCAGATTCATCTGGATGTCACCTGCCTGGTGGTGAGCTGGCAAATGAAATAACCCAAGTGAATAGTGAAGATAATGGCTTGAACTGCCGTTGATATAGTGCATGTTCTTATATAACCGTTGTATCTACCTTCATCTGCAAGTGCAAGGCTTGAAGTAAGGTCCTCTACATAACAAATCGATCTGACCTCCCAGGGCTATTCCACAAAGAACTTGTTCGCTCGCGCGAGCAAACAGTGAATCTGTTTCAAGTTGTGCCTTCAGTTTGCTCTTTGAAAGGGAGGGAACTAATACGGGCAGCACAAAGCCAGCCCTGGCCTGCAAGCCATGCCCTACCTGCAAGCAACACAACAAAGTCAAAGCACTATAATCCGTAGTAATGGGAAACTTATATAGGTAGACTTCCAGCATTGCTGCAGTGTTGGGATTGTCCAACACTCAACTTGAATGAATGGAAATACTGAAATATGGCTTAGAAATTGTCAGACCAATCAGCATGCCACCTGACCAGACCTAAGCCATGAAAGTGATGCTGGTTGCTCCACCGGGTTTCAACTCCACTCTGATAGGCAGGATACAACGCATACAAAAAACGATTGTCCGAAAGAAAACACACGCCTCCGTGGCCATAACAAGCTTCATCGCCTCCTCCATGGAGGTCTTCAGCCCAGGCTTGGCCACAAGCCTTGCATTGCACGGTTTCAGATATGGAGAAAAAAGAAATGTGAGGGAGGCCATCGCTTGTAGGATGGAGGCCATTGCTAAGCCTGAGGCTACGGGCAGTCCAAACGACAGGGGTCACCCAGGTCGTTTAAAAAACATTGCGATTTGATTAAACGTCCAAAATCTTACAAGAACCTGCACGGCAGAACACGCTGATACATGTGAAGACCCCATGCAATGTGACGATGTACAAGCCAGGCAAAAGTCGCACGGGTACAGCGAGCCACCACATCAGACTTGACCCGCAGCTTGAATCAATCCGTTTGCGTGTGTGATGCCAACTGCCACATTGGGGATGTCCAACAAACATGGATAACAATTTCATGAGGCGATCACAATAGCTAGAGTACTGGGTCCAAGGGCATGTAGTAGTCCAACCCAAAGATCTTCTCCAAGAAGTCGACCTTGTTCATTCCAGAGATTCGCGAGTTGTGTTTGCAGAGCCAGAACCCGAACCTTGCTACGTGTTTGCAAAGTCTGCATATGTTGGCAAATATTCCGGTAAACTAGCAACAGCAAATGACAAATAGTCAAGTCGATTTCTGCAAATGAGTTCAACGTTCCTGAGTCTCAAGTTTCTGCAGAAAAAAAACATAACATCTTTGTAGGAGTGCTCTGGGTGTCGTACCGTCTCGCCGCCAGGCGCGAAGGCCGGCGCATAGGCGGCCACATCCAGGGGGATGGACCCTGCGGTAGGGGAGGCTGCAACCTGGATGACATGAACCCACGAAGATGTTTCTAACACGTTAAGGAGATGTCTTCAAACCTGCGGAAAGTCTCACTTGCCAAATGCACAATATCGTCTTCAATCGTCTCATGCCAAGCCCCCCACCACGATCGCTGGTGCAGGTGCAGGGCCAGGTGCAGGCCCGGGCGCAGGGCCCGGTGCAGGACTGGGTGCCGGGACTGGTGACCACAGGGGTGATGCAGCGGGCGACCATGCGGGAGCCGGAGCCAAGGCAGGCGCAAAGGATGGTGCAAAGGCTGGCGCGAAGGCCGGCGAAAAGAAGGCTGGGGCAGGAGCCTGCAATGGTTCGGTGGCCATCGCACATCAAATCTAGATGTGTACAGGTCCAAGAAGGCCAAGAAGGTCCACAGGAAAAGGCATGCAAAGAAAGTTGATGAAAGTTGCAAAATGCCAATGTCACCCTGAGGATCAGGCCGGCGCCGGAGCTGGGTGGGAGGACCATGGACCTGAGTAGCAGCCGATCGAAGGTGACGAAGATTTTGTTCATGACAAAGACTTTAAGAAAAGACTTTAAGGAACCTAATAGCGATAGAAGCGATGGCCTCCAACCTAAGAGAGATGGCCACCAATCTAATAGCGATGGCCTCCAACCAAATAGATGGCCTCCAACCTAAGAGCGATGGCCTCCAACCTAATAGCGATGGATGGCCTCCAACCTAAGAACGATGGCCTCCAACCTCTCAATGTCGTCCTCAGACTCTTTTGGCCGTTGGAATGTGAAATGGCAGACCCCTGTGAAGTGCGGCGCCCAAGTGGTTTAAGAAGCCGGCTCACGAGGCTACCGATAGACCTTAGAGAGAGATTGCAGATGGGGGTCTCAGGGGTGGAAGGAAAGCAACAGACTTGTCGTTGCTAAACAGAAGTATGTCCCTTCTCCACCAAGTCTGACCATTCATCCCAATTCGAGAAGGGGTTGGAATGGGCTCCAGACCTGCTCACTTCAAATCCATCCCTCGCCAAGACTTCCTGCAGGAGCATGCAAGCGTTTGCAAAGCCCAAGCTTTTGAGCAAGCCACGGATGAGAGCTACATGAGCCAAAAGAGGTTCTACAAGACTAGACTATACTAGACTACTAGACCATAAGGCGTGCACCCACACTTTCCGTATCCCTTCCAGTTAGCCCACTCAGCTCAATTTCCCACAGCTGACTTGTATGTCATGCGTCTGCCCCCTTACAATGTTCGTGTGTTTCTTTCTAGGCCAAAGTCTCCCAAACTATCCGCACAAAAAGAAAGGCGCTCCTGAAAGAAGCTTTTCAGAGGACGCGGCACTGTCACTTTGTTTTGGCAAAAAGGCCCAACACACAGCGAGGTCTGAATCACGCCTTAGCGAGGTCTGCCTGCACAAGGGACATTCGCCTTGGAGCTCTCCACACAACTCTTAAGGACCATTGAACCAAATGGGGGACGCGACAGGCTGAGCAATTCCTCAAGGCAACTTGATGCAAAACCCAAGCAAACACGAAAAAACTGCAGAATAAACCATCTGTCCAACACTCCAAAAATATCCCGTCATCCCGACCATCTTCCTGTCTTGTCAGCAAGTGTGGTGGTTTCGGTAGTAGCTCACCAGAAGATATGACTATGAAGGTGAAAGGTCACAGGCTCAAAAACAAAACAAAGAAGCGCCAACAAAGGTCGCTAGGATTGTTGTCAACGGGGTCGCTGGGATCTGGGCTCCCCTGGCGATGCGATTGCCCCGTCCTGCATTCTTCAACACATTCGGTCGCATCCGGGATTGACCAAAGCAGCATCTCGTGTTTCGCGCCCTGTCCTGGGCTCTCTCTACATTGCTTTGTTGCCGGAGGAAGCCTCGGTCCCGGGTGACAACATGCATTGTCTCGAAGCAAATCCTTTGCAGAAGCATGTCCGATAATGGATTAGGTCTACTGGAAACTGTCTAAGCCTAAGCATTCAGTGATTTTCCAGCTGAGAGGCATCAAGCACTGGGTCAACAATAAACTGACTACGCTCTGGCAAACTAACCTGTGCCTGGAAAACACTTTTGTGCTAATTAAACGTGTGTATGTCTACCGGTTGGTTACACTGGGGAAAACGGTTTTGGGGTCTTTCATGGACCCTTGACGTACGTCACCGAAAACGTGGACCATGAATGCAAGCACAATGATTTTTCATTCAACCATCAACCGGTCTAGTGAAATGGTTAACGTGGACCTTGCTGCGTCTAATTACGTTTGCTGCTGAAAAATGACACGTTAAAAAGCATGGTACCTGAGCCATCAACGCACATTTTTTTCCACACGCCCCCCGGTGTGGCATGGTCTCTGGTAAGTATTGTAAAGTGTGTTGGGCCTCTGTGCTCAAGTGCTGTACTGCGGCCCCACTACACTTTTAAAGCCTTCACGTGAAAGAGCCTCTCTTCCAAAACAATAAACAGGCTAAATATGTCTGGGTTTAAAGAGGGTGTGGGAGGTGGAATCTAAGAAACAGACTCACGTGCCTGGGAAAAGAGCTCGATTTCACGATTCACTCCGTGCCTTTGGTCCAATGGTCGTTCCCCAGGAATCCCCAGGAATTATGCTAGCTCGTAACCGGCCTGTGGGGTGCTTCGTGCTACTTTTCAATTCCCCAGGAAACAGCGAGAGAGAGGTCCAAAGTACATTAACATAGCACTCCGGCAACTAGGGTCTTGATATCATGCAGTTTTTTTTTAAACGTGTGTAAAACAACGTTTTTTTTTTTTTCACGCACGTTAGTCTTTGGGAGCGTAAGTTGTACTTCCTGAGTGGCAGACTTACCGCGTTGACTCCAACCTTGGCCATTGATTTCAAGACGCCCAGATATGGTCCGTCGAAAACAAAGACATGTCCATCGAAGATCTTCCCCCAGGTTGGCCCTTTTTCCGTCATAGGGATTGAAACTATACCAAGATGACTATGCCGCTATGCCAAAAGGGTGGGGCCATCCACATCGCCACAATCCATGTAGCAATGCATTGCATTGATGCTGCAGCTTCCTTTGCCCACACAAAACGTACAAAGCGCCTCCAAGACACAATCCAGGGCAGAAGCCAACTTCTCATCTGCCCTGCTTGCTCAAGCAGGAAAGACTCCGTCGGCAAAGACACTTTATATATATATATATACCAAGTGTGTGAGCACCAAAGAACATGTCCCCGGAAGAAACTCACACAAAGTTTGTGGGTTTGCCGAGGTCGTGTTTGTCAAAACAAAATTCACCTGGGTGTCTGAAATGATCAAAGCGGAGGCGAATTCATTCTTTGAGGACCCCATCACGGTTGGCCTTGGAGTCATGGGCTGTTGTGGTTGCATGGCCATCGAGAGCCACCATGTCGTTTGTTTGCTTGATGTTGCGCCTCTCTGGATATCTACATTGGACGTCCCTTCAGGCTTCCCTTGACGTCCCTTCTCGCTGGCAGCTTTTGAGTTTGGTCATCTTGTGTGAGTATTATTCTTGTAGATGAATTTTAATTGTACATTTCCTGGCAACAAAATTCCATTCATGACCAGCAACGAAACTCAGAAAATGACTTAAACACAAAAAGAAACATGCGCACAAGCAGCCTTTCGCTCGACCTCTGAGGGGCTTAGTAGTTGCATGTCCTTTGCATGCTAACTGGGTGACAGCGTGACACATAATGAAGAGCATAAATGCTATGCTAAAGCATCCTCAACCTACGAGAAAGAGCCAAAACCAGCTGTGGCAGCTGTACCAAAGCTAGAGGGGTTGGGCTTGAGCTGGCTCAACACTTGCCAAGCTTGGACTTTCTCTCTGTCCACACAAAAGTCTCTTGCATCACCTACTTGACCATATAGTACATTCTTCACATGGGCTTCCTCTCCCTCTATTGAGCCATCGTGAGCAACCAAGTTTAGCCAACCGTTGGCGTTGCGATAGAAGGTGTCCAGTGCAACTAGCTTCTCACGTTCCTCGCAATGCACCTCGTAGCATGACTCTGATGGAAAGGCAATCGTGTGCACAAAACATCTGTACTCCTTTCCATCCGCATTAGTGAATGGAAAAATAGTCTTCTCAATGTCATTCTCCACATCAAGGCCCGAGAAGCAGTAGGGAGCTGTATATCCACACTGCTCAATGAGATTGGTCAGTTTGACAAGTCCCGCGCTGGCCACCCCGTCAGAATCGGAACATTCACAGGCCACGGGAGGAAGAAAGAGGAAGTAGTAGTAATAAACGCAACAACATCCGAGAAGAATGGCCCAACTTGCTGTGAAGCAGCACGCAAACGGCGTGCATCGACTCTGATAATTTGTGCGCAGCACTGTAGTCTGATGGTCAGTCAAAGCAGATTCTTCGTCATAGACTAGCTCGTACTGGTGGGCTACCATGTTAGTCGCAGAAAGGTTCCTCTACATGTTTTTGATCAAAATGACTTGCGTCAAAGTCTTCAAGAGTTCCAAAATCTCCGAATATCAACGTGAAAACCTGGGTGCATGACACTGGTCAAGATACAACGGTCTATCAGTCCAACCTCTGCTTTTGAAGCTCTGCTTCGCCCCATAGGTCCAACTTGCCTCTTGGTCTCCGACTGAAATCATAGGCCAAAGTCCAGAGGAGGACATGAGAGGCATCTCAATCACTATCAGGAATCCAAGACCCAAGTGTTTCTATTTGGAATCAAAAACAGAAGCTGAGAGAAGGACCTATTATTGATGGAAAACAACAAAGGTGGAAATACATAAAAAGCTAAACTATATAGACAATCCTCCACCTCCATCAAAGCAAGATCCACAACTCACACCTGCAGAACAGCTCCACAATCCCTGGACACCGCCTGGTGGTGCTTCGTTTTACCGGCTTTGGCAAGTGGGCCACGACATCGTGACCCTGTATCAGCCAGAATGATTGCAGTAAACATCGGATATCATCAAATTGTCATCAAATAACATAAGACCTTAGCTAAAAGCTACTAGGTTGGAGGCCATCGCTATTGGGTTGGAGGCCACCGCTTCCATGTTTTGGCCACGAACACGAGAGAATCCCCCGACGTGACGAGACATGCTCTCTCTTCAACGAGGCAACTTGCGAAGGTTTGGTCAACTGAAGCGAGCACAAAGGTTGCTGTAAACTATCCTGTAAGCGGCAATAGAGTTTTGATACCCAAAATATAGTTTTCGTGTTGTATCTCTACCCTTGACATTGACATTGGATGTTTTGCTTTCTTTGGCTACATCATGACAGGGTCCCTTTGGCAGAGGGTGCTGGGACCACGCAAGTGGTCCTAATGACATTGAAAGGAGCGACATTTCAAGCACTGCGAGGCTCGACAGTTGCGGCTCCCTGACAGAGACACTATATACTACTGACGGATTGGAGCTCTTCTTTGGAGCTCTTGATGGAAGCGCTCTACTAAGTCTTCGGCGGTCAGCTCTTCTCACTCATCATCTGCCACCTCCTTTCCTTGACTCAGCATCCAACCCACAAGTGAAAATCCTGGGAATCCCTTCAGCCTGAGGCTCGACCTCTCTAATGCGGACTGGTTAACTTTATCAACTATGTCATGGCTCATGACCAGGTCTGCCCACTCAAACAAACACCCTGCCTGATAAGAAATGCCAAGTGTCTCCGATAGGACATCCAGTAGAGGCCGTCCTGTTCAACTTTGTCTTGACGTGGGAAGCAGAGCCTGAGTTTGCTCAATATTAGTCCAATCATGTCCAATCGTTCAGCGGCAAGTGAAGGCGCTCAGGAACATGATGCTCTGCAGTTCTTGATTGGAGAGGCATGTGGTTCTTTGCGTGGAGCAGAAGCTCCCCCTCATTTGCGGAGCAACCCTCGTAAGCCCATATGGGCCAAAAGGATTGTAGGGGCTTTTCTGTCAAGTCACTTAGCTCGCAAGTGCAGGTGGTCATGCAAACGACACTTTTCACTGAAAAGCTAGAATATTTCAGCCATCAGCCAAGATTCTCCCATATCACAACATGACAGAGATGGCGATAGCGTAATTCTCCTACCAAGTGATTGAAGAGCTGATTTTTTCGCTTCTCAGCCTCTTCGTAGAGCTCTCCCAGCAAACCAATGTAAGAATTCATGGCCACCACGGTCATTAGCAAAGACAGGATGACAAATTGCCCACTGATACCACGATGGTAGTACGAGCTGTGCTCACCATCCTCGATGAAGCCTTTTATCCTGCACTACATACTCAGAAAAAACGTTGATTTTTGGGTCTCCCTCCTCAGAAAATTCCTCCAGCACCCAAAGATCTACAGGACAGTCAGCAAGGAATGTTGGGGAGATTGCAAAAATTGAATCGTTCGAGGAAGAACAAACAACATAAGACTCCCATAGGAATCCTTCCTCTTGTGGAAGGCAGCCTGCCCATGCGAAAGGTTGCATTGATCTTGGTGTCAACTCCTTCCAGCTCGTTGAGATCAAAGTCGCCCAGGACTTCCAGGCGGAACCTCACGGCCAAGATTCTGCCAAGTCTTCCCAAGACTTTCGGGGTTGGCAATCTTGGGATGACGGTACACAAGCAATATTGGAGAAAGAAACAGAACAAAGACTCTACAAGGTAGAAAGGCTAAGTCGAACAGAACTGTTCAAGAATGCAGGGAACATCTTCAGAAAGGTGTCCAGCAAGTAGTCGAAGCTGTCCACATTCCCCGGAATAGGGAAGACAAAGTAGGCATGGAACGAGCCACACACAATCAAGCACAAGAAAAACCTCAATTCTGATAGATGATGTGAAAAAGAAACTCATCCGGTTCATCCTTTCAATCCCACAATTGAGAAAATGATTGCCCAGCAAAACGACTCCAAACCACTGAATTGACACCTTGTGACATAAAGTACAAAGAGGCGGGACGGGTCACAGCATAAATAACTGGTACGATCCATTGGCCGATGCGGCGGTATTGCAAAACAGCCAAGGCCAGATGGATCCAACGAAAGAGGACCAGCATAGAGAAGTAATTGGGATGATGGAAGATGTAGCACACCTCAGACGCAGCACCCGACGTTTCAACCCAAAGGCTTGAAGGCTTGAAAAAGAATACATCAAATACCCGAGAACAAATTGTTCAAACCTTACTTTCCCGGACCCAAGATGCTCGCGGATACATTCCGGTGTCCTCATCCAAATAGCATTCTGCGCCAAAAGGATCTAGTCCAAGATGCTGATGGTAGAACAAATGCGCTAAAAACTTTGCCACAACAAAGATAGAGAAAATGTCCTCAGTCTTTTCTCTGTCTCGCAAGCATCACCGCAACAATCAGAAGTTTACTGACTGTTGTTTAGATAAATACCCTAGCTGTAGCTTCTTCGTTACATCGTCTTCCGCCGATGCAAGGACATCATTCACTTCTTGGAAATGAAATCTAAACTCATGCAGGTTCTTCTTTCCATTAGTTCTTGCCACCAAAAACATACCAACTCGACCCCACGAATGCTGCATCTGAGTCGCGTTTGAGACAAGCACGACGTTCCACAATGTTAAATGCTTTGCAACCGCTGCTGGCACGTTGGAGCATTTTTGGGCATATAGCCCAAACCCTTCCAAGGAAAGGAATCAAGTACAATGATGCGCTTGCTGTGGTCAGGATTACTTGTGGGTGGAGTGTTGCGATTCATTTGTTCTGAATGCAATTTCACAAGTATGCGATGTTGGCATTCTGGATGCAATGGTTGCTGGCTTACTGTACAGTAAAGAGGCAAAACCTAGGACCTAGGTTCTTTGAATGGAATTTTGAAGTACTACCAGCATATCATCAGTTTGCACAAGAAAGAACCATAAAACATGCAACCCCTATATACATGCTAATATGTTAGTGAGTTGAGTCAAAACGATCAACTCCCATGGGAACATGCAAATATCTAAACTGGGCTGCAGAGCACGCACACAAACTCAAACTTGAGCAAAGAAGCAACAAAAACAAATATCAGGTCCAAAGCATCGCGCTTGTTCGTACGTTGTGCTCGCCTCCTTCAGCAAAACCGAGGTTCTGGGTTTTGTGTTTTGGTTTGGGTCTGGCTCAAAAGAAATGCTCCAGGGTGCAGCGGCTTCCACCAAACCCTGGACATGTCTCAAGAGTCAAGAGACGCGTTACTTTCCTGCACACTGCAAAAGAAAAGGCCCCTTGGCTAGGACAAAACAGAAAGAACTGGAAGCGACCAGGCGCACTGAGACCATTGTGAAGATCGCTGGCAGTGCTGGGTTTCCTGTGGCTATGTTGCAGACTCAGGGGTTTATAATAATGTGCACATTGCTAGTTTACACACTCAGGTTGTTGAGTCGAATTATACCAATTATCGGAGCCCCGACTCAGACGACCAGGGGGGGACAAAGGACAGACAGAGGGCTCAGGGGGCCACTGCAGCGGACCAAAGGAGCAAAGGAACTCCCCCACCTGTCAGGTGTGGGTCCCCAGACTTTTTCACAATACACTCCGTCTCCTCATCTTCAAGGTCAATGCACATGTCAGAACATACAACACTAAAAATGTCAGAGTTATGTACAAACGCCAAATGAAACGTCAGGGCATGTATCAGTATGTCATTTATAAGGACAGTCTATTAGTGCATATGACCTCCCTCCCTTCTTTCCTCTCACCTCTCACGGTGCACAGCAAGGTCTTTTCTCAGCAAGGTTGCTTTGTTCAGATGTCGTGGGAGATAAGAGGAAATGACAGGTCTGCATAGCATTTATCTAGATTGCACGAGTTTTCTGGTAGAGATACGGACATGGTTTGTCTGCAGTGCACTAGAAGTTGGTCTGAACACGTCAAGTGCACAACCTTTACAGTCAATGTTACGTGATGTTCTGCAACACTTGCACACAGCTTTGCAATCGACACAGCTACCAGAACCACAGGCTGCTCTATTCGTGCTCCTTTGGGAAGACAGTTTTGAGGAGAAAGCAACCGACAGAGCTGACACTGTAAGCCTTCTTCGGTGGAGTTCGCTCATGCAGAATTTGAGCACGATCTGAAATTTTGAAAATAACACGGCCAAGGTTGAAGTCATTCGCGGGCAAGTTCGCCTTCTGATGGCATGCTGCGCACAGCTTACGATGCACAAAGGCCGCACTGAAGATGGGAGTGTGCTAGCTAGTTGATGTGCATCGGAGCCGCACTCTGAAGGATGCTGCCTGCTGGTTTGCAATTCATGTGATGCGAAAACAAAAGAGCGAAAACTTGAGAATCTGATTCTATTGGGTGTCACCGAGCAAGCGGAAGATCTCCTGAAAGGGCGCCGCCGCTAGAAGTGTTTGATAAGCAGCGATGCTACAGTGACTTTTCGGACAGGTTGGAGGTGGTAGTGCGCAACATATAACATGAGGGGTTGGCCTAGCAATCATGCAACTTTGGTGATATAGCATCTCTATACTTACTAGCTAATGTTGTCATGATTAATGTCTGACCAGCTGACACCTCTGACAATGAGGGGCGCGGCTCAAAAGGCTGACAAACTGCAGATCTGTTGTGGGTTTTGCAGTCAAGGTGGGGATCACTCGAGAGTAAAGTAGTTAACTTTGAAAACACCTGTCAGGCGTGGAAAAGTTGGATAGACAGTGGTTTCAGTACGCATATCGGATAACAACGCAGTGGTTGCAAAACCTAGCAACTACGTAAGCTCAACAGCAAGGTCATGGACAAATGTTTTTCAAGAAGTGCGACAAACCACCACCCTTGCAAAGAGCTTCAATGGCAACACACAAGGAGGTACTGCATAACTCAAAGCTCACAGCAACATTGAGAATAGAAAAGCAGCAGCCACAGCAATAAAGCCAGTAAATCGAAAGACAATATGTGGGCAAAGAAGTGAGAAAAGCAAGAGAACCCAGAAAAGCATCAAAATTATAGCAAAGCCAACATGCACAAATGAAGCTACGAAACATATGTCTTATGCCCACACACCACCCAAACCGGATAGCTACAAGCACAGCTACCAGGCATGGAGGCACGCACCGGGGCAATCGGCTCTTAAGGGCCACAGCTGCTCACACGCACTCCCCCCACTCTGCGGCTCAAGCAAGCAGAGTGCATTGTGTGCACACCACTGGGCCGTCGGGCATGAGCCACCGCACCGACTGTTAGGCACCCAGCCACATGGATTGAAAATACGTCGCATGCCGCTGTAGCTTGCCACACCCTGCACACTGCAGTAGCTGTCATGCCTTCACCGAGCACCGCCCATCTGCACGTCGCACACCATGTGCGACCACAAGCTTGTCACACGCCGATGATTCCATCCAAGAACATCCACACAAGCATTATGTTGAGCTCATAACCTATGAAGCATCTGTCTTGTGCCCACACACCACCCAAACCGGATATCTACAAGCACAGCTACCAGGCATGGGGCAAGCACTGGGGCAACCGGCTCTCAAGGGCTGCAGCTGCTCACACGCAGAAACAAGAGAAAGCCGCACCTCAATTGAAGAAAAGCGGACAAAAAGTGGGCTGCAAAACATGAATATAAGCTAAACCGCACGAAGCGACAGGCCAACACCGAAGCACAAAAGCAAAACCACAAATAGCATAAGGAAAAAGGGAAGCTCAGCCAAGGAATCAAACGAAACAGTGTCAGCAAAAGCAAACTAGCGCAGCAAAGGCGAAAAGAAAAGGGCGACAAAGGAAGGGAAAATCAACAAAAAAAGACCCTAGGAATACAATCAAAAGGCAACAGAACTATGGCAAGCCAAAACAAACTGTCTCTGGCTCGGTCTCTCTATATGCCTACATAGTTAAAGACAACACTGGCATCTCTCACAGCACATCCTTCATGCCAAGCCCTTTCAAGGTCGTTTTAGCACACACGGCGAAGTGCCTGCGAGTGCTGCAGTGCAGTTGAAGCCCGCCGTGAAAAGTGCGACGAAGCCCAGCGAGAGGGCGCATACCTAACCACCAGAAGGTCAAGCATGATTCAAACAGTTGCACAGTGTCCATGCTTCAACGTAAAGAATAAAGTGAACATTTGATAATAAAGGGCCTCTTCAAAGGCCCTTCCCTTTGTCTTTGTTTCTTCTTGTTTTCCTTTATATAATGTTCCCTAAGACTGCCGTACAACTGACCCTAACTTCTTTTGGGCAAGTAGACCTCCGGGATCCTTAAAAGTGTTGAAGACTGCCATGCTTTAAAAAAGAAAAAGGACATGGGCAAAGCTACCAGGGAACCTAATCGTTTGACACTTAACTGCTGACCCTGTAGACCTTGACACACCTTTCTTGAACAATGAAAGCTCTCAGCATGTAAGGATGAACGGGTCAGCTCCTAGTGGCAGGTTGCACCCGAACCTGAATCCTCACCTTTTCTGACAAGACGCTGCATTGGGGTTTCTGAAATGCCGCACCTGAGCTGAATCTACCTAATAGCAATGGCCTCCAACCTAGTAGCGATGGCCTCCAACCTCTGAGGAAAGTAACGAACACGTCCCAAACTTGAGACTCGTGCCCTTAGGGCAAACCCAGATGTGCATGCACAGCAGGTGCAAAATTAGTGAAGGAGATTGGTGTGCATGCTTGGCGTCGCACAATTGATTGGGATGTCGGGTTCACGCGTCAAATCCCCGCGTTTGACAAGTCAGTTCTTGACTTTGGAAGATTTCACAACTTCATGGATGGTGCCTTCACCGTTGCCACCCACATTGCAAAGGCAATTTACTTAGCAGGTCATGTCATAGGCCAAAACACAGCTCGTAAAATCCCTCGGTCCTCCCTTCTTTTGGAGTGTGCCGGAAGTTGCACACCGATCAAATGCAGCTGATCTCAGCCAACAAGCAGTGTGCCTTCTGCACTTTCACATACAACGGTTCACCGAGCTACACTAGGGAGACACGAACGACTGCGCCAGCAAAATGGGAAAAGCAATGGGCACACGCAAAGTTGCTGACAGTGAAGTAGCCACAAGGGTGAGAGCGCAACTCTGAAATACCTTGGCAACTTCCTTTCTGTCTACTTTGCTAAGGCTCCTTCTAGGTTCTTCTCCTAAAAATTCATAGACCAAAATCCTTCATTCTGGGTGTTGCGGACTAGGCTTCAGCTAGGTCATTCCTTGTTCTGCTGTTCTTTTCTTGGCCCTCCTTCTTGCTGCCGCTTAGTGTTCTTCTTTATGATAATGTCCTTTTTATGCGCAAAATTTTAGGAGGGGGGGTTGCCCACCCTCTGTGCACTGGGACAATCCAGCAATTATTGGATAACTTGCTACCATGAACTCAAGTGTAGAACGCACGGAGTGGCAAGCAAGTTTGGAGTCCCGACAACAAACGAAAACCGACTTGTTTCTGATTTCTCCAATTCGAGATGACGGGTTGATACACCTCCTTCCTGTTCAGGTCCGAGGCCATTTCAGTTTCCTAGGTTTGATGGAGTGAGGATATTGCTAGCTTTGGTCAGCCGTGGTCCGGAAAAAGAAACCAATCCTCACTAGAATGACAAATTATATAGAAAGGGTCTCTTTATTTTCTTTGTCTATTTTTTTTAATTCATTCCAAATCGCCTTTTTGTTACCCCAAAATGAAAGACTGAAAAGACCCTGTGGAAGAAGAGAACAACACCAGCCAACCGCAAGCTGTTCAGCTAGGTTCTGCCTTTCCTTCCCTCGATATCCAGACAGAATCCACTTAACCACTCACTCAACTAAATGTTTCAAGACCTATGGAGCTGATCCACAAAGTACAATTTCTCCGGGGGGATACGCCACTCGACACAACATTGCAGCCAAAGCTTCAGTGTGGCCCATGTACATCAGGAGCAAAATAGAGAAAATGTCGTTCATTACCACTTCCAACAACACTTGCCACTGAGTCCTCTCTACTGCCTCTGACAACACAGCAGAGCCAATGACTGAGTTGAAGCATTTGCTCTCCAGCCCTGCATCCACGAGAGACTTCAAAAGCACGGCCAGCTCTCCACTAGGTAGGCGTATCAAATGGACTGCAGGTGTCACAGCAAAGTTTGCCTGGTGCAGGAACTCCGTTCGCCCAGCTACGAGATACCTGAGAATTCCCACTGGTTTCTGGAACTTTTTTGTGGTGGCATATTTTCGGAAACGCTTCGACTCCCCTTCTTCCAACTGAGAATGGCCAATGATCTGCAAAGAGGTCGCTTCCGACAGCAGTGATTTGAATTCTGTTAATTCGAATTCTCCAGAGTCGGTGACACTGGAATCCTTCTTGTTCAATTCCCCGAGAGCTTTCTCAGCCTTCTCCCATTCCATGTTCAAGCTCAAGCTGTGCAAGAGGTCTGTCAATGATTCCTGCCCCTCAATGACACTTAAAAGCTCAATATACTGGACACATTGCACCGCGTCTATCTCGTTCAGCCGTTTGGTCCATTTGTCGAAACCTTCTTTGTTGCCGTCGTAAACCTTCGAATCATCAAACTTGCCTTTGTCCCCGCCGGTGATGTCTGTCTTCAGTGCTTTCAATTCATTTGCGATCTCCATGGCTTCTATTCTTGTGCGGTGCGACCACTCAGACACGCTGATGAACTCCGGCCATTTCACATCCTTCAGCTCCCTTGCCTCACGGAAAATGAACCCTTCACAAAAACCTTTCGGTCACACCAGCTGCTAACTTCACACTCCACGACACATTGTTCCTCTCGTGCAAAGTTTACTAGTTGGGAGGACTTTCAACCCAGTCTGGCTTGTCCATTTTTATAAACCGCGTATCTCACCCCAACTACCATGCAGGCTGCAAAAGAGTCTTTCAGACAAAATGCCAAAGGTTCAAGATCAGCACCATCGTCATTCGACTCTTCATCACCTCCAGATTCCGATGATATACGTGAATAACCTGCTCTCATGCTTGAAGACTTGATCCAAAACAGATCGCATTGCACAGACCAGCTGTTTTTTTGGAAGATCAAAGCTTCAATTTTGGGGTTTCCAACATGCAATGTCTAACTAGTCTAGTTGTCTGTTGATGATATGGAAGAAAAGAGGCCGCTCCAACACTGAAAAACAAAGAATTGGAGCACGAATAACACACACTTATGGATATGCGTACTGACTTGACAGCGGTGCCACACGCCAACCTAGGTTGAAAAAGGGCCTGAATAAAACGAGGCACAAAAGTTGGAGGCCATCGCTCTCAGTTTAGAGGCCATCGAAGGAGGTTGAGAGGCCATCGCTAGTAGGTTGGTGACAAGAAACAAGACAGCAGACAAGACAGCAAAACAGTCAAAGCAGTCAAAAGTTGTCCTAGCACCTGGGGCGACCCTAGCCCCGTACGTCTTTAAAAGCTGTCTGAAGGTCTCCCAAATTAGCCTTCCACAGGTAACTTTGATCGATTTGGAGAAAAGGCAGCAGCAACTGATATCAGTTGATTGAATTTCATCGAACATATGCAATCATTCAAGGTAGGCAGGGTCAGTGATGAGGAATTGTTTGGGAAGCGTCAAGTCAAACCTGGGCTGTGCGCGATTTGCGAAGGACAGAAACCGAGAGTTTGCATCATAATCAAGAGTAAAGACTCAGTTGATTGTTTGACATCTACATGCCGCGTACTCCTGTTGGCCAAGCCGTTCTGGAGTGCACCTTCGTTCGATGTGGTCACCTTCCTCCCTCGTGGAGGATTTGGGCAACCGCCCTGATCCTTGCACAGCACCTTGCCCCATGCGCAGTCACACAAATACATCGAAAACAGGTTGAGGGACCATTTTTTTTCCACAAATGCGGACGCCGTGTGGGCGGTGGACCTGAATGCACACACTGGCATTCAGAGTTTTGAAAATGCCGTGCTGGCAGTCCTCTTCTTTGGATGTGCAGCACTTTGGGGTGTGAATTGCAATTTTGTGCAACTCGACACCCACCAAGTCCTGGCAGATCCCGCACAGAACTTGGAGCCAACCACTGCTGCTATGTGATTGCACGGCCATGGAGGTAGTGCGAAGGGCGGATCCAAGGGGAAGCCAAGGCATCAAAGTGCCGCGAGGTAGGAACGACAAAATTCCACCGCAAGCCTTCTCCTTGGAAGTGGGTGGAGAAGCTGTCGACAGCTGCAAGTGGTCCACAACCAAGTACGGTGGTCAGCCTGCTCATTATATCTGCTTCCAAGAAGCAGTAGTCAGGCAGACTCCGGTCAGATCAGTGGAGCCTCGCCCTTTCTCACCCAGTTCGAGGTGCTGAAGGGCCGTGTATGTTGTCAGGGCACCGTGCATGAGCTGCCAGCAGCTGCGAACTGTTGATTTGTTCAAAAATTTTGGGTTCAACCTTTGCGCACGACTTACAGCTGCAGCAACTCAGCCTTTCCCAAAACTTACGCGTCATTGAGCAAGCCTTTCTTAAGTGCACCTTGCTGCGAGAAGTCTGCATCCCACCATCCTGCCACATTGCTCGGCGTGTTTTTGCAGGTGTACGGAGCTTCGAGTATTCGTAAACAAGGGAAAAGCAAGACATGGCGAGGCACATATGCCCGGCTCAATGCTTTTTGACAAATGTGAGCAATTGGACGGCTCTGATTCCTGCCGCCAAATGCTAATGACCAATGGAGAGATGACTTCTGAGCAGCCTGGCAAAGCTCGAATGACAGTGGGATGGATGCTACACTGCTGTCTCAATTTTGTGAGCCAGTTTCAAGAAAGCTTCGGCCAAGCCATCATTTCGGCCCCAGTCCACGAGTGCGGACGCCGTGTGGGCAGAGTGCCCAGATCATGGGAAGGAAACACGACATGATGAGGGAGAAAAAGAACACAAGCAACCAAACAAGCAAACCTCCCAAACCAAAACAAGAACTAGAAACCAAAAAACGCCACATTCCCCCTCATCTAAGCGCGTTTCCTCTGTACGAGAGTGAGACATGTGAAAAAGGCAAAAGCTGACTGTTAACCAACTAAGGGCCTGAAACCACGAAAGTCGGTCGGCATGGTCGGCAAGTGCAGCGGAGCCTCTCAAAAGGGGTCTCGCCCCACCCACCAAGCTGTGACCAAGGAGGCCACTGCATCGAGCGGCAAACGCGATGATCAGGTGCTTGCAAGACCTGCATTTTTTGTCAGCCAGTCTGATCCTTGCCCGGGGAGTCAGTTGTAGCTCTGCCAAGCAAGCCATGGAAAAGCCATCTCGTTGCACAACCCTTTCAACTGATTGCACGACACGAGAGACATGTCGATTGTCAGGCAGTGGAGGCAGAGACAACGAAAGGGTTTGCTGACAATGATGATGCCGCCCCCCCAAGGAAGGTCACCTTTGCTCTTATCATTCAAGAAGCGCCATTGTGGTGCTCTCTGTTTCAAAAAAAAAGAGAATGGCACTGAGATGCAAAAAGTCTCCTATTGCGCGCAAGGCCCCGGTGAAACCAGTAAAACGTGGACCTATCCCAGCATGGTGCTTGTGCCTCATTACCATTCTCCACCACCCGCCTCTCAGGAGCGAAAGCTGAGGCTCTCATTCCTACAGGCTCACTGTAACTGGCACAGCCTCAATGGACAGCTTCCTACCAGCGTGAGGAAGGTGCAGGTCTGCGCCATCATCCCTTCTTCACAGTAGTAAGGACTGAGCCTGGGCATCAGCTGGCCCATCACTGGCTTGAAGACTCTGGCTTGAGCTGTTGGAGCTGCATGTGTAATCCTGCCAACTCAAGAACAACTTGAGGGTTGCCCTGTCCATCAAATTCCGCTAGCAGTTCATGTCCCTATGAACCCAGAAGAAATCGTCCCAGAAGGGGCCTTTGCAGGGGTTCCACGCCTGCGACGCGTCTTTTTTTCCACGAGTGCGGACGCCGTGTGGGCATGGTGCCCAGGTCATCATTGAAGGAAGGGAAATACAATCAGATGGTGGAGAAAAGGACAAAGACAACCCAACAACAAACCAAACAAAACCAACCACAGCCCACAGGCCGAGACTCCACCACCAAGTAGTATTTTCTCTGTAGGGTGAAACAAGTGAGACGATGACTGCTGACTGTCTATGGGCCTGAATTCACGAAAGAAGAGCATGGCAGCGAGGGTTTGTGCTCTAGCAAAATCTCAACGAAGTCGTCAAATGGACTTCACATCTCTATCACCAGTGACCAGCGGCCACTGCACAGAGTGGCAAAAACCTGGTCACAATGCAAGTCCCGGGCATTGGTATGCTCTAACGCAGGTCTGATCCTTGCCTAAGTGGATCAGTGGTTGCTATGCAGATCATGCCGTGGAAAAATCCTTTCTAGTAGCACAACCCTTGCAACTGGTTGCACATACAAGTCAAGAGGCACAGTAGTTGTGAGAATTTATAGTACTGAGGAGCGAAGACTCCATACCACTTGTT